GGTCCAGTCTTACTCCGGTCCGGTTGATAAGCATAGGCGGAAGGATCCCAAATCAGAAAAGACAATCAACGTTCACTAATCAACGCTCCTCGTTTGATTCTCATTGAAACAAACCATGAAGTGCACACCATTCTATTGGCCTTTGACCGCCGTAACCTTTCATCCAAGAACTGTAACTTGATTAGACTTTGTATGTAGGTTACCCATGATCGATATAAAATGCCCATGTTAAGTTAATTCACTTCGTCTGAAGCAGTTTTGGTGTCAAGAGCAAAACCTTGTGTATCATTATAGATATATTAACTGGTCGTCTACCAAACCTTCTGAAATGATGATTTCACGATCGTTTCAAAATATATTCCAAGATATCGAATTAGATAATGTATTTGCGGTGGCCGCGGAAACTAAGCTTAGTAAATGCTGCCTATTGGATTCAAGCCCAGCCGGACTCGGCACCCAACACTACACAACTGTAAATAATGACTAAGCCAGATGTAAGGGTAAAGCAGTGAAGCTGGCTACGTGAACAACACTAATACGAAAGCAGGCAAAGAACCTACGGTGGCTCCCATTCTGACTCGTTTGATACTGAATGAGAAGTATTCCGTGGAGCATGTTGTACCGGCGCACTGGAATACACTGGTTACCGACATAGCCGAGATTACATAAACGTCCTTCGACGCTGCCTAAGCGGCAGTAACAAAATATACTTTAAATCTGACCCGATCAAACAGGGCGCTACAAATGCCAGCATTTGAAGTTTGTGACAAACTGTATCCGGTTGAAATGCCCTCGAGCGATTTCTTTATTGCGTGCATCTCAGCCGCGGAAATCACTTCTGCATTTTGTCAAATCTGCTCCTACGTTGTCCAGATTCAAAACTTGATTCATGGTGCATTACTCCATCTGTAATACATGATTTCACCCAAGTTCCGGAACACGCAACGACGTAACCAAACAAGGTGTTTGCTTGAAATTTGCGTAAAGTCCATTTCTACAGGTTTATCTGTTTTGATACATCCATTTTTGATCACACACTTTACCTAATAAACTGCGTTTATCACTATTTTATCAGTGATAAATCCATTGTTCGATTTTTCCATATTATCGTTTGTACGTGAATCCGTTGTGGTTGCGGTAAACAAGCGACCGGTCAGTAAGCATGTGGCACTTGTGTTTTATGTCATACCACTTCAAGGATGGTACCATCACCAGAACATAAGTTTCCAAATACGTAATTGGGAGAAAATCTTCAATCAGCAGCGTCACTCATGTTGCCCTTACTGACACAAGCTGATTGGATTATCTAAATCGGTTACTGATAACATTATTGAGTTATACTACGGGCGCCCATGGTTAATCTATTTGCTTGTGACAATATTAGAATGGATTCATTCAAAGAAGTTGTCTGTTAGAGTTAAGTATAGATTTTCATCCGGCTAAGTAAAAAGCATAAGCTGGGTCACAATTGAAGTTATGAACTATATGCACAAGGCAGCCACATTACAAAAATCTGCTCCATTAAAAATATTAATATTTCACGGTCTACAAAGTATCGGTTCAGTACCATCAAAGGAAAATATATAGATTAGTCCCATTGTTTAGCGTTTAAAAGATTTCCTCAACATAATGGCCAGGCGACAGAATGATTGATTAATTATTTACATTCGACATTTTCTGAAACCTCAAACTAGCCATAACATTTTGTTTTATTAAAGATTGCTTAAAGCAACTCCTGAATATAAGAATGAATGATGTATTAATGTAGTGTATTTGTCTATTTTAAAAATCACGAGAAGACGTAAGCTAGAAAGTTCAACGCAGTTTAGTCAAGTAAATCAAGCCGTTTCTTATGCTATTCCTTAACGCTATCTCCTATGCGGTTTTACTCCTTTTAAACTTAATTCATACCAACTGTCTTCTGTTTAAAACCGAGAGCAAAATTATTTACTGGTGGGGCGTCAGGAACTATTTTCGTAATTTACCCACAAATTGATTAATTCGTAATATTGTTCTGCGATTCCTTTCGCCACATTTGTTCTCCAGTGCTAATCATTTCCACTTCTTTTCTGAAGTTAACAGTCCAGAAACATATACTTAAATTCAGTGATGGCAATAACTGATTCCCTATGCGACTTTTGCCAATGAACAACTCGTACAGTCATCTGTCTTCGGCTGTTACGCCACACAATTTATCGTATGATCGGTTCGATCCATTTCTATGCCGATGTAAAAAAAAACATACCTGCCTAATTTTTACGCTAACTATATAGTTTTCACATAATTCTTCTTTTCTATATTCTTCCTTATTTCATAGTTGGCCACGATTGGGTTGATCTCCTGTGGTGACGGATTATAGCTTCCAGATTATAAAAGACTTTACCTATGCAATGCAAATTACCACCAACTGACTGGCGTATGATAAAGTGCCATAATAGAAACATCCGCATGACGGACTGGGCTGAGGCTTCATGGCCCATAATACATGTACAAAAGCAGCTATAAAAAGAACAGAACAAATGGTAAACAGGTGATGGCTCATATGCTACTATGCCACACCGACGCACAGCCAGTTATTGCATGGAAGTGCGGGCGAAACCTTTCGATGGAATACCTTGCATGGAAGCAGGTCCCCTGGGGATGGTTCCACGAGTGGCCGTATTACTTTAACTGGACAACTGTTTAAATCTGCATACGTCATTGCTCCTTGTTTTTAATTTCTTTAATACCTTAATCCTGCCAATTAGTTTAGTACCTGTTTTTGGATCCATTGTATAAAGCGTGAACGGAATGATTTTTTTTGCGATTCTGTTGTATACATTGATCAGACCACATAATTGGACTGCCCTTTATTCCCGTCCCTTCGACTTAATGTCCATTGAATATATTTTTTATATAATCCCATAAATAGAGCATAACTTGGATTCAAATATGGTCATGATCACGATAACATTTAACAAATACCTTTCTGTCATTTGTGTAGCTATTTTAGCTGTAATGAAATCGGTTCTTTTTACTTATCCAGATGTAATTTGCCTAGGTTGCAAATGAAACATTAAGTTAACAGAGATCACTTGAATTTCACTAAGTCTCTTGCAGATTTAGTTCCTCTTTAAGAGCTGTCTGTTGCAATATAACAATATTAGCCCATTAATTTACATGCACCTTTCACAGAAATCAGTTACACATACGCGTAAACGGCAATATACCGAAACCTGCTAACCTGCCAACGAGAATTGCCCTCTACAGTCAGATTTTTCTATTTGTCTAAGCAAACTTTCCCCTCAGTTTCTGCCAGAATATAATGCCTGTTGCTAAGTACATTTTCGACAATTTCATATTAGTAGTTTGGTTGAATAGAAAACATCAGATATTGTAATAATAGACGCTCAAATGAGATACCGAAAGTTTGTTTAGCATGCTCATCAGTGATGAAGAATTCAGTTCAGCCTAACCTAATCGGCATTCAGTGGGAACAGCGGGTTTTGGCTCGTCAATCTTATTCCATCACCTTACGCGTGAGATTTATGAAAGCTGCCAGGTTGGTCAACAGGATTTAACATACTACTACATATTCGATGATGTCCTACAGTGCACTAATAACTATACACTATGTAGATAACGCCGTGGTACAAAAGCGATGCCAGTAGAAATGTGAAAAACCTTGCTTGCGTCATACATTAATTTTAGTTTATATTATTTCATTCAACGACCCACATTTATAACAATCAAAAGAGTTTCCCTGTTGCTTTAGGTTAGTTTTTGTAACTCTAAAAATGTACCAACTCATGCTACATTTAACGAATGGTAAGGAATAATTTACTGAATAGTGGGAGTTCTTTTGCATGGAGCATTGATACCGGTTCGGAATAACACGTGACCAAATCGCACCATCGCAATGCTTGTAGGTCATTCGGCACTGCTATCTAGCAATAGCCATCGTCTTCGTCCCTTACTGCTTGGACAACAGGAGATAGTTAGGAATAAACGCTGTTCGGCATCTTTCTTTACTCTCAAACAGAGATCTTGGCTCTCCGTAAAATCCATTTGCAACATCCGCCTAACTGGTATTTTCAATTCGTAATGTTTAGTAGAAATTATTTTTTGCTGTGATTCTCGGTACTTTAGCGCTTCATCCATACCAGGGAAGGATATTAATATCAATCAGTCCATATTAAAACACTTGCCAGAACGAGCCTGTGGATTAACGGATGTAACAGGCCCCCGGATGTTTAAAACTTGCCGTTATGACGTTGTTTATGTTCGTGATGAAATTCAGCAAACTTTTGGTGTATCGTTCAAAAAGTATCTACCTCAAACACAAATGTTTTTTTAATGAAATCACCTGAAGATACACCTATTGTAAATTCCGAAACCAAACACTAGCTCCATCCTTACTGAGTGGCCATTAAACGTTTTATAACATGTTGGTTAGGACAACTTTCAAGGTTATATTTAAGCACCCATCTAACTTTACATTCCATTTCAGCTTTGATCATGTCCAGTTTAGTTGCATTAGGTGTAGAAGGTACGTTTTAAAATGATGCTCATTAAATGTGTGCGAATGCTTTACTCTCACGTTTGTGTTTTTTACCAAGCTACTCTAATAACGCAAGCACTAGAGTATCCAACAGGTACAAGATGTGCTTTAATTTTCCCGTTTTATGCACATCGCCTAACCAAAGCGAAATTAATCATAGGATACCACATAAGGGTTATATATTTATAAAGTGGCAACATCAATCATAATACTTTAGTCGCAATTTGCGTTTATAAGTTGGAGCGTACTACAAGTTATTATTCGAAATACGCAGTCCACCAAGTTCACTGCACTCCAAATAAGATGTCAAACAATCGTACAAACTAGGTTGTACTCTATAATTAAAATTTATATTGAGTAAACTGCTTGCCGAATTATGTGTTTTGACTTTGGATTTCGTATTCCTTGGCAGTAAGCATATATCGACTATATACTAGAGGGGTGTTCAAAACACACTTACGGAAGAGTCTTCATTGCATATTAGTTCCTCCTGCATCAAGTTTGTATCATATAGCTGTAGATTAAACTTGTGATTGTTCACTTCGACCGTGATGGTTCTCATCCGTTCGTCTTCTGCAGCTGCATACAATTAAGACCAGATATAAAAGATACAATTCAGCTCCTTAAATAGTCAAGAGAAGTTGCACATTAACACAGGTGCTGAAGTAGAAAATGCAGCCGGAAAATCATCGCATGTTGATTATTTATTTTGGTACGCTACACTTAACGTTAGCGTTACTAATGCACCTTAATTAGTCTTTCCGTAATCAAAAAACAACGCAACTACAGGTAAAATGTTTCTCTTAATTCTCCGCACTATTTATCAATCTTATATGCAATTGAAGGAACTCCAGCTTATCACAATTTGACGGCGTTTTCAAACGCTCAAAAATGTTGCTGGATCAAGGTGAGTCATTAAAACTAGTTAACTGAAAATGATGCTGTTTTAGAAGGTACTTTATAAAACAGTTAACTGTTGTTTAATGAAATGTTTTCTGTCACAATTAGAAATTTATTCTGGTTATTTATAAATCAATATCCGAACTGTGCCTTTTGAATATTGACGCGGAGACCGATTCTTTTATTTATCTAAAGCGAGAGTTAATTTTATCAGCTTAATCTACTTCAGCTTAAGGCGATACAACGACAAGTTAATCGCTAACGTAAACGTTATCTAAAAGAAGGCAGGTGTAGCAGGTAAATCTGTTTTAGCTGCTAATTGTGCCTCAACAAAGGCCAGTTAGCTCAACAACCTCTAAGCCAGATGTTGGATGCTTGTTACATAGGCACACGATTGTTTTGGACAATCACTCATCTGGTGAGAAGAGGTGAGAAAGATAAAAGGGGAAGCAGAGAAGGGTTTGAGAAGTAAAATATACAAAAAGAGAGACGTTATAGGTAGCATGCCTTATTTTATACATTTCGTTTTCTGCACCGATTAGGCGACCCTATTTGCTCTCTCACTACTGATAGACTGTCGAGGCAACATGAGAATATATGTGTTGATAAATTGATGTCTTGTGGTTGAACTGATTTATTGCCAGTTTATGCATCTGAAAAAGTAGAACGACTTGGGTCACAGCCAAAGATGTCGATAAAATGTAATGCAGGAAGACAGCAGATCATGCGCTATTTGTCGGAGAAATGAATCACGCGGATATTGTTACCACTTTTACCATGATACTTAATAGGGCAAAACTCTCAGCGGTCATCCAATGCATAAGTCCAGGGCAGACCATTAAAAGCAGCCAGTTATAGATCTATAAAGATTTCGATACGACAAGCTTCAGAGAGCAATAATATAATGTGGTTTGCATGAGCACTCGAACCTAGCATATAAGTCGAGGCGTTTTTCTCCAATCTCCACGAAATTGAAGCATAACGAATCCAACTTCATCACTGTGAATTATTATGCAGGTTGCAGCCGCAAACACAAAAAATGTATGTCTACTCCAGTACTTTGCTTTACTTTCAAAAATTAGATTAATTGTATGGCAAAGGAAGTGATTACTTAATACTGAAAACTAGACAGGCGTGAGAGGTGAGATAAAATAATTTATAGATGCTGCCAGCGAGATTGACTTCATTGTTTCATAGATACAAAGAATATCGAATTTGTTCTTCCGTTTAAAATAAGATTATGTCAGCAGCATATTAAGTGGCCTTATTAAGTAATAAAATATCAGCTGGAAACATTTATGTTAGTTCATTTTATATCACAAATAAAGCACGATAAATTGGCCTATAATTGTGTGCAATTGACCAAACGTTTCTTGATGCAAAATTAATGTTATAAAGCAAACTAAAGCTGTTTTCTTACTAAAATTATGAAGAAGACTGCATTTTGAAATGCACACGCCGAGCAAACTACTTATATAGAATCATTACCTAAGCAACATTATAAGAATACACGTAAAATCTATAAGAGCAAATCTTTTCTACCGAATAACATTAAAAAATTGTATTAATTTGCTTTTATGCTTTATTATTTTGTTGTTTTCTCTCTTTTTATTTTTTTTGTTTTTTTATATTTTTGCTGACTCATAATGAAGGAACTTCGCAATATTTTGTCATTATCGATATTTCTGAATATGGACCATTGAATCATTTAACGGTCTAATATATTTCTCAAATTTTAAAGCCAATCATTTTTACAATGGATGAAGAAGTCTACCAAACGCTTAAATTTATTTTTGCAGTTAATGCTATCATATTACATAAAGCGACGAACGAATACTGCCATCGTAATAGCCAAGCATTTGCTCTTAACATGAGGTAACCTACTTTGTTTTATCTTGTATTTATTTAAATACTTCTTGCGTTTGATATAATTTAATGTTTTATATGTTCACAAAGGTACAGCTCCATCTAAGGAAGGACTTAATATGACATATCTCTATACTATTACATATTTATATATGCATATTCGTAGAGCAAATTAATTCAGTGAACAGTGTAACCCTACCGACAAACAACGCTACAACTTTAAACTCTTGGTTGCAACGTAAAGCGGCTAGACTAAATCGGTGTTAGGACTTCCATTCTATCAATATTAAATTTAATTGGACGAAACGTCTTATATGTTAAATTAATTGATCTATATGTTTATTTAGCTCGGGCGGATTGAACTGTTGTTTCAGCGGAGCTAGCAACTTCACTAACCAACGAGCGATTTCGTTACGGTTACTGAAACCTTGTTGATTACTGGGTTCGTTGATATGAATCTATCACTTTTCCCCAATATTCTCCTACGAAACGATCGATCCAACGGTAGATCATGCGTATTTTGTGTTACCGATCAGACTTGAATAGCTATATTATGCACGAGCCATAAATGGGACTTATCGATTTGCTCCAATGCGGCCTGAATTTGAGACGTAGTGTGTGTTTGCATAGCAATAATTTATCGCTCACCAATGTTCACTTTAGTGGAGCTATGCAGCAAGTCTTGACACGGCATACAGTCACGCCCTTCTGATAGGGGTGCTTCAACTAGCAAGCGACCGAATTCCCTGCTTCGCACAGCTCACCATTTGCGATGAACATACAAAGCACAATCTATGATTAACCTTATTATAAATATGTTACCTCACTTGCGTAGTGCCAAACGGATGACGAACAATCTGTTATAGATCATCCGCTCATCAGAGAGGAACCAATGTCCACAATGTAAACATTGGTGCACTGCTTAGCCGTAGTGATCATGCGATATTTCTAGCACGTTAAATCTTATATGGACAGTACGTCGGTTAAGACACTGAGCAGTTATACATCATTACGTTTTGAAATATTGTGTCATCATGTAAACAACAAATTTATTTATCCTAACACAACAACTTCTGGATGACGCCTTTGTTCAGCATCCTAGCTGCAGCTTTTGCCGACGCACGGGTCCAGCCGAATTAACTGTTCTCCCTACTTCCATAATCGGCACGACTGTTCCTTGCAAGCTCTTGTGATTAGCATTAGAATGGCACCCCATAATTTGTGACCACCAACTGGCAGAACGGTTCCACCATCACCGAAGTCATTATTAGTGTTCTCGTTCCTTGGCTATTTTGAATTGCGTTTCCGCAACTATCATTTTTATCTTTTATGGCTTACTCACATTTTTGGCTCATCTATTAGCAGTAGGACGTAGAGAACAAGCTTGTTTTTAGTAGATCATCATCAGGCTATTACAACCGGAGTTGTGCTCACAGAAAAATTGTGTGCAGACGCTATCTCTACCCTGGCCTCAGACTAAGATAAGTAAGCAGACCTAAACCGACATTCTCTCAACTCCACACAACTCGGGCTAATCACATGGCTTTATTGATGAGATATTTTGATTTCTTGATGCCTGTAATTCACCTGTTCATTTTGGATCTACATAGTTGTGGATATACTAACCTTATGATGGCCCTTGAAAACCAGCTTGTTGGCTATGTCTTTCTAATATTTTCTCGGGGTATTATTTCATCGATTAGTTTTGCATCGCCGCCTGCTCTCATATCCTATTTTACGTTACTACTTTTTGTTTGACTTGTTAGAGTACGTGATTTGTGACCAATCCAAATATAGTTATTTGCTAAATAGACTTCCTAAGAACTTCGTTTTGCAGCTCAGATACATGCTTCCACAAACAAATACGGATCATTCTTATGAAGCGGTTAAGCAGAGTAACGTAACTCGACTGAAACAAATAGGCAGCAAGCGAATCAAACAGGTATTACATGGCTTGCGTTCAGGAGATAAGACGCTATACGCCCTATTATTTAGGATGAAAATACTCCCCGGCTTGTCCTCATTGGTTAACTCCATCCTTCTAGACGAATGGCTGCAGCACTTACTTATCCGCCTACGTTAACCCTATCACTCTAGCCGCGCAACTGGATAAAGCGAGCACAGATTATCTTCCTAGGGAAGTAGGTTGTACAACGCCAACCGCTATATATCCGACAAATAAACATTACGCGTCTCAATAGCCACCAAGTTCGTACAGGAAGCATGCTGCCCATAATTAAAATCCTTCTGTGCTTGTCGTAGTGCTAAATGAACCACAGGGATTACGTAGCACTTTCCATTCCAGTTCAGCACGCGAGAACGTACCAGTGCCTAGGAGCAAGTAGGCCAAGCCCCACAGCAAACCACGGGACAAAATATGCGGGTATCACAGCCGCTTTGGTCCTCAGGCCATGCACCTTCACCTCAACTCTATCTGTGGAACTTCCAGTCTGCAAATAACGCACTATTAACGCCACCGGCCATGATACTGGCAGTTGCTTTCTTTCATGACTTCAAATCTGGTACTGCATTCTTGCTTGATACCGGGTTTAAAGTTGGCGTGGTTCCTCCAGTACCTCATGAGTTGAGTCATTCCTCGTACTTCCAACGACACATTCACACCGACTTACGGCCAACAATCTTTAAACACTATGTTCGGTCACCGTTGAGCACTTCTCCATGTGTTTATTATAGTCGCCGTTCGGTACGCAGTCATCGACATAGACTTCCTTGGACATTTGATCTTTTTAACTATGTAAAACAAATGAGAATATTCGACTGCTTTCAGCGTCTCTGGCATAGCAGACAGCATC